AAAAAAAATAAGTTTACGAATCGGTAATAGCTTATTGTGACATTCATCTAAAATGGTTTTCCTAAATCGTACCAGTACGTTTTAAGAACATGCCTCGAGTACGAAATAGGCGCAAGAGTCGAACAAACTTTACATTAGTCGCCAAAAAATTTGACAACAGATACGCATGTTTCATCACTTCAGATGAAATCACAAAAATACGCACTAATACATCACAGATAGTTAAAAAACTTACATACGATCCAATTTGAAGAAATTTCGTACGAAATGTGCAAAAATATTACAGAAAAAGTTGAAAAAACTTTCCTTTTCAATATTTTTGTCAGGAGCAGAGTAACAGCGTGTTGTCTGTCAGATGGTTATATGACCGATTGTTATTTACTTCTTTTGCTACTAGAAACACTAATAGCTATTACAGGAGTCGAGATATAAGCGAAGTACGAATTAGGCGCAAGTACGAGTTAGGCAAGTTTCCCCTATAATTAGTAATAAATTTGATTAGTAATACTATATTACTATAGTATTACTAATAAAATTTAATTCTACATTGAACAGAATTTAGAAACTTCCCACCCAATTTGCATTTGTTAAGAATGGAAATATTCAGTTGGCCTTATTCATTTTAATTGCCATCACTCAACTGTAACTTGGCATAAAAAGACAAAGTATTTGCTTTGTTTATAGACATTAAGGAAGCCTATAATTCTATTATTTCTAATTTACAAAGAAAAATGGCTAAATATCAGGCAGACAAAAAACTTATAAATATGTAGGTTTATTGTTCAGTCATTACAGTACAGTCATCCAACAGGAAATTACTCATTGGTTGACCTTTGAGATTCATCACAGCCTTCTGTGAGATGACCTTTGGTCACTGCATTTATTTAATCTTTACACATTTGACTTTAATAATTGTTTTCAGAGAGGAAGACAGATTCCTAAATTGATAAACAGCTTGTATAATATATTCAGTGTCATATGCAAATGACATTTTCACAATTACTAAAATATAAGATTAGAGAACTCTCTTCCAAAAACTGTCAAGAGATTTGTCTGCTTTGTAGTTATAATTAGGTGTAACTTTTCAAACATTTTTGTTTTTTCAGTAACTGATTTATTAAAAATAACACTTTAGCCACCACAAAGCTGTTGAAATGATTACAACAACAGTGTTTGTTTGATGAAAGTTAAAAAATCATGTTACAAAGGCAATTTACTGACAACTTTAAAGTGTGGGAAGATATTTGGTTTTCTCACATTTATGATGTCATTTATGATCTTAAGTTTCTTTTTCATTACTACTATACTATGTATATTGTCGAATGAATGAATAACTTTGGAAAAGTTTATAGTTTTTTGGTATCAAAAGTTTAATTCTGACAATAACACAGAAGTTTAATAACATTAATATGTATGATGTTAAGTGATGATTGACAACCAGATTAAACTTCTCTAACAGATAAAGAATATTGTTCCACTTCTTATAACCTGTCCTCCTCCCCTATTCATATTTTAAGCCAGTCTTTATTTGATGCCTGCATTTAAAATTCAAAGTCTGAAAGAGTCTTTGAACCAATTCTATGTTTTCATTTTAAAATATTTTGTATGTAATAATTCTTTCAGAATATTGAAAGCAGAACATTGCATTTTCATAAGGTTAGTTATGGATGACTGCATCCATTATTTAGAGTGTTTGCTATTTAGAGGTAAATATAATAGATTGTAAAAATATCCGTTAAGTAGAGGTGTCCGCTATTTGGGAATGTCTGTTAATGGAGATTTCACTGTATATTGAAAATGAAGTCATAGACTCCTATTTTTTCTTTCCTCAGTCTATTATAGATAACAGAGGGAAAGTATGGTAATTTTTACATTTCTGTACTTAAGGAACCTTGAAATGTTGAGAAATACAAAAACATTCAGAGTTTTTTCTGTATGTATGGATGTTAATGTGAGCATGTTTGTGTGTGGCACGATTTTATTTATCCTGTTGAAGCTTAATAGCTCCTGTGCTTTTGAAAATTTCTGAAATTTTGCAGGGAGATTCGTATATTAAGAGGATTGATGCTATTAAATTTT